TGGGCAATAAAGTTATTTAAATAAATAAATAATCATTAAATTGGTAATTCTTTGGTAAGAGACAGATGCCATAAACGTATGTATTAACTAGTAAGAGCATTTGAGATAGGAGTTAACCTAATTACACTTCGAAATCTTATTACTCATACAAATAAACTAATACAATATGATTTCCGTATTTGAATAATATTTCAGGAACTCAGTAACATTTATTTTATCAGAATCAAACGTAATACAATAAATAATAATTTATTACAATACATAATCAGTATTTGAAGCGATAAATATTATTATTATCTATATCTAGCCTTGATTGTTAATGAAAAATCTATCTGCATTGAATTTTCTAATGACGGTAAAGAGTAATCTATGAACTGAGGGCCTACCATGAAATATATTCTGAAATTTCGGGGACGAACGAAACAGAAATTTGATGTTAAAATTACATAATACATGCCGTTTAAAATTATTAAAAATGTTAAAATATCGTTCCTCTGGACTATTAGAATAGAATTTATGATGAACGAAATGTTAAGCTCCATTTACTGGGTCGATTTTGGTACGAACAAAAAACACGAAATTAAGCCCGAAAATTCGGAATTTCATTTCATGGTAGACCACCTGATTACCACAGCCCTTTAGACGCTAATGATACAATTGAATACTTGCATTTTTACATGGCTCCCAGTAATTAAACAGTAGTCCGCTCAGCCTACCAGTGACTTGCTACCTGACTACAAGCGATGCGCTATTCCACCTGCGCCATTTTGCATGTAGGTAGATTCATAAGCTTGTATTGCATTGTATATGTATGAGAAAACTATTGTATTATGCATGATATTCGAGTCTTGATATTGCAATATTATAAACGTTTCCTTCATATTGCGGCATAGTATTGGAATATCATTTCATCATCATTGGCTGTGTAGTCCCGGCATAGAATAGGCTATCTCTTCCTTTCCTGTGTGCGTGTGTGTCGTAAGAGACTAAAGGAACATAATGATAGAGGAATGAGCAGCAGCGTCCCTCTAACTGTGGTTGCCAACCCACCTGCTAAACGTGACAACTACTGGCAAAATTCCTCTTATGGGAAAGCTAAATTATTAAGAATAAAATTTAACTTGACAATGTCTGTACATATCAGATAGAATTTCTTAAAAATTCTGGTTTGCCAATGCCTGGCAAGCGGATTGACAAGCACAGTTTGGCTTTGGCGATGTTTAAAGAGACGCTGCTGCACATCTCACGACCAGCAAGTTTCATTAGTCGCCTCTTACAACACCCACGGGAACAGAACAAGTGGCTCGTTCTTTACCAGGACTACACGACAAAACGATATCATTTATAAACCCGTGTAAAGCCGAGGTGTATTACTAGTCATACTATAAAAGTATCATAAAGTCAAACGTCGTATTTGGCACAGTACCAGAATGGAGGTATTTTCAATAACGTACCTTATAAATGCGACATAAATATTAAACTTGTTTAATGCCTTTGTTTTTCTAAGTTAAGGTAGACCAGGTAGAAAGAATATTGTGCTGAATCGCGTTGAATGAAACCAATGAACCGTAACCGGTATGGTTTATTTTCCCTTACAAAGCACAGGTTGGCTGGTTGCATTTAAATTAATAAGGAAACGCATCACAAAAATATATGTATCTCTGTACAGTTATACGATTGTATATGAATTAGTAATTGTGCGAATAGAAGTACCATATTACTAATATAATAAAAATATTAGTATTATATAAAAAAAGCGGGCTATGAAGAGGGGATTGGCTGTAGTCTCTTTGCGTGATAGAATCCGAAACGAGGATATCCATGAAAGGATCAAAGTGACCGACATAGCCTGAAGGATAAGCAAGCTGTAGCAATGAGCTGGTCACGTAGCCCGAAAAATCGACAGATAATGGGGGAAAAAAGGTTCGAGTGGAGACCCCGTATGGGCAAACATGGTGTAGGATGACTCCCCACTGAATGGAGTGACGACCTCGAATGTATTGCAGAGTTATTGAATGTAGATGGCTCAGGACCGTTGCTTATGGCAGTCTACAGGAGAGAGCTATGTTCAGCAGTGGACGGACAATGGCTGAAATGGTGATGATGATGATGATATAAAATTGTAACTAGGCAATGTCTGTGCATGGGAGATAATTACGACAGGTATGAGCAGTAAAATAATAAGAGTAAAAGAAATCTTAAACAATAGTGTTTAGAAATTTTGAGTTTGTTTCAGATTCACGCAAAAACAACTGTAGCAAATTTGAAGTGAGTTTCATATTTGTGTCCCTGAAGGTCTAACTTAAAAACTAGTGTATGTCATACGCCATTTAAAAGCAGTCAATTAATGAGAAATTTTCCTACTTTTGAAATATGCAAGAAGTAGTGCCAAAAAGCTTGTACTAATAATGCAAATGAAATATATGTAACTAATCTTTAGTAATATTATAAATGTGCAAGTGAGTTTACATATATATAAGTACATACACATATATATGTATGTATATAAGATGTAGGCAAAAAATAATAAAGTCTATTATTTTTTGCCTACATTATTATTAACATTGCAGTATTCCACTGTAATATTTCATTTCCCGTGGGAACGGGACGAAGCCGCGGTAAACATATTGCGAAGTATAAAAGTGCACCCTAATTCTACTACGAGTAGATAAGAAATATGCGGTATCTCGGATCCTTGATAAATATAAATATCTTTTGAACGATCGATACAAGCATATCGCAATGTGAAGGTCGTGAGATGCTATATTTAACGTGTTTCACATACAGACTGACGTACGATTTCGATATAAGTAATCCACAGAATTAGATTGAGTACTTGGTATAAATAATGTTGTAAAAGATTTTGAATAATAGAACACACTTTTCTTCACGAAAACCTTTTAAAAATACTGTTTTTAAGACATTTGGTTAGAATTTTGATCGCGGAATTGTGTAAATTCGTATAAGTAGGTTCTGTTTTCTCAAAGCTTTTTCCTCTGCAAAGAAAAAGCGATTCATCAAAAAATTTATGTAAAACCCACATAAGTGGAAAACCGAACATTAGAAAAATAACTGTGAAATTCAAATATAGAATTGGTAAACATAAGTCACATAAAAAATCATATGAATCGAGATCATTCTTGTTTTTGAATTTACTTATAAACAGATGCAATTCTCACAGCTTACTCACGCAAGCGAAGTGAATACGAATATATATTAGGCTAGAATCGAATTCATTGGCTTTCTTTTAAAGATGTTTTTATTATATATATATATATATATATACCTACTGCACAGCTCTGCTCGGTGAACACTCTCTTAAAAAGGTGCAAAATATTTTGCATTGCACCCTGTATTGTGTCTACATTCGAAGGCTGCACAGTTAATTAGCACATTCATTTAACGCTCTAATGATTGGATAATCCAATCAACGGATTTCCACAAATATATCGATACAACCGGCTCTATGAGATCAACACACAATACCACGGTATTGGCGCACGTGACTATAGAAGTGGGTTGGTTGTGGAATGAGCTTATTGCCTGTATTCCCTATGGGTTACAGTATCAAAGAGGACGTATTAAGGTTTCTACAAGATCAGAATATCGGCAATTATTAGTAAAGCAACAATATTAGATAATAATAAATTAATAAATATACATAAAAATTTATTAAATTTGCTGTTTGGTCCCGGTATAGAACAGGCCACACCTTCCATTCCCGTAGGCGACTAAGGGAACTTATTAGTCGAGGTTATTGGTTAAAACATCGCCAAAGCCTAACTATGGCTGCCAATCCGCCTAAGCGTGGCAATTATTAGCAATACCACCCTTTGAGGAAAGGCAATGTTAAGCAGTGGACAGAAGATGGCTGATATGATGATGATAAATGTATAAAGATGATGATAAAGCAACCCTAGTATCATATAGTACGAATAAAGAAACAAACGAAAAACTGAAAACTAAGGAAATACCTGAACCCACTGAGGTGGAAAAAGGAACGCTGTTGAAGCAAATTACGAGTAACGAAATTTAGGACATCCTTTTACCGGAATCGGGAAACTTCCATGCCAATGCGTTTCAAAAAATGAAATATTCGAAAATATTTTACTAGTCAGAGTTTCAGCGCTAGATATAATTCAGAGGCTCGACATAATTCAAGTACTAATCATGTTTATGTAATAATATATATATATTCAAGGTTCAATGCACGTATACCGTATATGTGCATTGACCCTTGCGCAAATAAAATATTCATTCATTCATTTCATTTTGTGCGCAATTGCCAGCAAAATGGACATGTAGATGTCGAATGTTTGGGTTGGAAAATTTTAATGAAAACAACAATTAGAGAATATTAGTTTTAAACTTTGCATTAATTTTTTAAATTGAAATTCGGATACATTATTTATTTACTTCAATTTATGACCATTGTTCGGGAAATGCGAACTGCAACGAAATACTGCGACGCGAGTACAAACTCACCCTGAAGAAGACTTCAGAAAACAAATTGTCGGAATAGAAAAACAGTTCATTTCATTCTCAATCCAATTAAGATTTGGATAATATGTACTCAAATAGAATTATTTACACATTTTCTTACAGTTGAACTCAATATTCATCGAAGTACTGGTAGACCACGTTTTGCGAAATTACGGCTCCTGTTTGTACAAACCTAGTTCTGAAATCCTTATGGCATCATATTATATATAATGCATTACCATTAGCTCGTGTCGGTCTACGAACTAAATATAATATAACAAACGTGGATCAGAAGGGGATTAGGCTTAGTGAGATCGGCCAGGTCCCACTAATACCAACAGGTAGACAAAGATCTCCACCCAGTGTGTGTCTAGAGATGGATCGCATTACTGAAACTAGGATCAACGTAAGCGGAGCTTTTAACTATACGCAAAGACATGTCTCGGAGCACATATTATGTTTTTTAAGGGGCCAGGGGGGCAGATTATAGATCATTGATTTTAGTAGCGGGTACTCACCTATCGCTGCTACAGGTAAGCAGTTGAAGCAGTCTGTAAACGTTTTCCATAACTTGATGTTATACCTTCTTTTACACTCATCATAGAATCTGTGGACAATGGAAATTTAAACTTTAGACGTATATGCATAAGGTTACAATACCGGAATATTGAAAATTACAAATTTTTAGACACACAAACACAGATATTCTTTTCCCTACTCTTACACGGCATACCATATGCTGCATATGCATAGGATATAGAATATGAGTACAAAAAGTTAGGAAAAATCATAGAATGAGAAGTCGTACGATGAAATCTGTAAAACCCTATATTTCTCATAAGTCAACTAATTTTATATTAGCTTTATTGTAATTATTATATCGAGCTAAATTATATATCGTATAGTAGTTATAAACAGATTATATGTAGGATACGATAATATAGCGTATGTCATTGAACCCTCGTGTGGAACATAGAATCTATAGCTAGCGACTTAGAAGTCAGTCCGCCGTGACGAGATAAAGCATCTAGAGTAAGTGCGTAGTAAAAGCTTTTCTGTACAAGATTCACGTTTCTTATAATGGGAGAATATGTATGTGAGAGAATTGGCGCTGTATTTTTTTTGTAGATATCTTTCACTAATTTATGATTTTATCTACTATAGTAGCAACCACTCGTAATAGTTTATTTACTAGGTAGGTCCATACAATAGATTTATTGCACAAGTAATGTAAAATTGAATGTTATAAAACTAATATAGGATAGCATGCATAACAGAAAAAAGGGAGGAAAGGGATTGTTAGTAATGGAGACTGAGAATCCCATTGTTAGCAATATACCCAACCAGGTCGACCTCCTCGCGGTTTCCCCTGGAAACTATCTTGGTTAATTCCTGAGCCAGCGTATCCCGATAGCGCAGGCGGGGTTACCATTCCATTATCACCCATAAAAAAACATATGAACTGATAAAATGTTCTTTTTTTGCGTGTTATTATTACGCGAAATCTTCGATAATTTTGGACCGACTTTTAAAGACTTTTTGATTGATGACCCGTGATGTGTTTATGGAGACTTTTTCACTGGCTCATTATATTCCCTATTTATAGTATAGAGATGTCCTGTGAACACCATCGTGTACGTCTATTCATAGTAGAAATAGGAGATATCGGATATCAATATATGGAGTTCTTCTGGACATTGATGATTGATCATTCACAGCGATATCAACAATATCCAGTCGGATTTCTTTATTCATTATGAGCGGGTTCTTCTTTTCTATATTATATATCTATTTATCTATACTTATAATAAATCTGTAGAGAGGTCGATTTTGTACATGAAATATTTCCAAAATAACTACCAGGGGGTGATTAGTGATCGGTACTGATGCCAAAAATGCAATCAGTAAAATTTTTGTCTGTCTGTCTGTATATTCTTTATAGAAACAAAAACTACTCGACAGATTTTAACGTAACTTGGTACAATTTTTCTTCATACTCCTAGGCAGGTTATAGTATACTTTTCATCACGCTACGATCAATAGAAGCAGATCAATGAAGGGAAATGTTGGGAAAACGGGAGAAGTTACTTCAGTTTTAAGCTTCCGTCGCGTGTGTAGCCTTAATTGCCACTTTTTAAAATGTAAAAATGTCCACCCGTGCAAAGCCGGGACGGGCCGCTAGTTGTTAATATATCTGTTATTAGGCCAATATATGTATAGATATTGTAACTACAATACATAGATACTGTGTAGAAACTTTTCATTAGTATAAGACGACGATTATCACCACCACCACTTTCTATCAGCTTCGTCAGCTTGTTTGCTTTTTTCTTTTCTTTTTTATTTTCTATGTTGCGTAAAAACGTCCAAATTGCGATTATCATTTCGCATCGGGTTAGGAGGGCCGTCTATCACGTTGTCTGCCACTCCCACCAGTATAAAAAAAAAATTGGACTTCGTCCAACATATTGTAGACTATAGGTAAATACGACTGCAATATAAACTTTCAGTTTTATTACTACGGGCGATGATTTTATAAATAAATAAAAATCGGTAAAAAAACTTTTAAGTTAAACGGTTTTATTTTATGTGCACTGAAAACTACAAAATAAATAAATAGTTACTTACCTATCAACCTACGTAGGTGATCTCGGTCATTAATATCTCTGATGGTAGTGGTTGTCATAACATGAACCATGTCAGCGGCCGAAAGGCAGTTCATGAGAGAACACTAACACCAGGGTTTGCTTGGTAGGTAAACTAAGCAGCCCACACTATAACAAGTAGGTATTTTGACCTTCTAGTTCAGAAATATTTTAGTACTAGGCAGAATAGCTTTTAGGCATATTAGACTAAAATAAAAACGTGGGGCCCATTAACTATTTCTGTATTACTTTCTACTATACTAAGTGTGGATTGCATCGACTTATTATAATCGTTATCATCATCATCCTAGCGGTTTATCCCGGTCGCATCCGAAACCTCATAGCTCCGGAGTCCAGAGTCCGCTGAATCGACTTACTATAATCGTAACTGGAGGTTTTGACCATCAATAATAACCAGCTGTTACGGCTTCACCAGCGAACGCCGAGCTCATGATCTACCAAAGTATAAGATATGCTCTGCTATAGGTATGATTTCAGAGGGGCCCCACGTTTTTATTTTAGTCTAATATGCCTAAAAGCTATTCTGCCTAGTACTAAAATATTTCTGAACTAGAAGGTCAAAATACCTACTTGTTATAGTGTGGGCTGCTTAGTTTACCTACCAAGCAAACCCTGGTGTTAGTGTTCTCTCATGAACTGCCTTTCGGCCGCTGACATGGTTCATGTTATGACAACCACTACCATCAGAGATATTAATGACCGAGATCACCTACGTAGGTTGATAGGTAAGTAACTATTTATTTATTTTGTAGTTTTCAGTGCACATAAAATAAAACCGTTTAACTTAAAAGTTTTTTTACCGATTTTTATTTTCTTGTTTTTAGTATTTAGTGAAATTGTTTACCGAATATTCCTCATTCTATTTAATTCATTCAGTGCATCATTATTACATGGTTTCTTACCTGATAATTTAGTACAATCTAATTCCTCAATACATAGCCCTTCCAGAGACTTGACTCGACTTAGAGCCACGTATGCTTGTCCTTCCTCAAACCATTTTGAGCCCAAATATACTACTGCATGGTCGACGGTGCTGCCCTGCATTTTATGGACGGTGAATGCTCATGACAAAACTAAGGGCAACATCCTTTTTTCAGCCGTACCGTAATTGAATTTTGCTGGAAACTGTATGGCTTTAGGGTAAATAACGTGCATGCCGTCTGTGCCAAAGTCAATTAAAACTGATGATATATCTGTTTCGTACATTTGGGTTCGACGGAACTGAGGCCAAAAAATTTCTGTAATGTGGCCTATAGCGTCATTTACCAATCCTTTTGTAACGTCAATGTTGGACCGCAACATTACTTTTGCACCTACAAATATTTCAAGTACTGATGGTAAGCCTCCAGTCTTATTTATATTTGTAGGTATTTTTTGTTACCATGTTGTTCCCACGATTAAGGGGCATTTTGACGGTCGACCCCCCCCCCCCCGCAGTCCAGTAAAGGGGCAAGGCTTAATATACAACAAGATGCGCCCAATCTTGAGGGGGAAGCGCTTACGACATTACATTTTTATCCACCCTAATGCCATACAGTCCTCGGCACGTTTTAACCTATTACCTTAACTTGGGTGGTATAACTACCGCATACTAACGAGGTATCTAATTACCTATTTTTTTTTATCTGCCCCTCTAACGTCACACAATCTTAGACGCAACTGTTCTCGATACGACTAATCATGCCCCCACCTAATACGCCATTTTGTAACAGCGTCCACCTTGAATTTGAAATTTTGACATAATGACAGTATTCTGCAGTGTAGTCCTATTATTTGATACCCATATTGTGGTGGTTGTGGAAAAATATGTACCTAGTCCGCCATATTGGAACGGCGTCCATCTTGAATTTTAAATTTTGACATAATCATCGTGTTTTACTAGTGTAGCCCTTTCATTTGATACCCATATTGCGGGGGTTAAGGAAAGATATATAATCCGCCATTTTGTATCGGCGGCCATCTTAGATTTATAATGTTATTGATTTTATTATATTGTATTGTCATCTAAATTAAATGTGTGTACCAAATTTCAGATCAATCTGACAACGGGAAGGTGCTTAAATTCCAATTTCTAATTTTGACCCAAATAAATAAATACCGTACAGGTCGAGCTAAATAAAACCGTTTAATAATAATAAAAAATAATCACAACAAATTTAAAGCAATTGTGAATAGGCTATTCTCGGGTCCACAAGCTTCGTCTAAGACCACATCATCACCATCCATCTGGTGTGATGTGTGTCTAGTGCCTGAGTGTCTTGTGTCTGAGTGTCTAGTGTTTAGTGTCAGAGTGTCGAGTGTCGAGTGTCCGAGTGTCTAGTGTCTGGGTGTCTGAGAGTCTAGTGTCTGAGTGTCTTGTATCCGAGTGCCTAGTGTCTGTATGTCTAGTGTCTGGGTGTCTGATTGTCTAGTGTCTGAGTGTCTAGTGTTTGAGTGTCTAGTGTCTGAGTGTCTGAGTGTCTAGTGTCGAGTGTCTGAGTGTTTAGTGTCTGAGTGTCGAGTGTCGAGTGTCGAGTGTCAAGTGTCAAGTGTCGAGTGTCGGGTGTCGAGTGTCGAGTGTCTAGTGTCAGAGTGTCTAGTGTATGGGTGTCTGAGTGTCAAGCGTCTGAGAGTCTAGTGTCTGAGTGTCTTGTATCCGAGTGTCTAGTGTCTGAGTGTCTAGTGTCTGGGTGTCTGAGTGTCTAGTGTCTAAGTGTCGAGTGTCGAGTGTCGAGTGTCGAGTGTCGAGTGTCAAGTGTCGAGTGTCGAGTGTCTAGTGTCAGAGTGTCTAGTGTATGGGTGTCTGAGTGTCAAGCGTCTGAGAGTCTAGTGTCTGAGTGTCTTGTATCCGAGTGTCTAGTGTCTGGGTGTCTAGTGTCTGGGTGTCTGAGTGTCTAGTGTCTAAGTGTCGAGTGTCGAGTGTCGAGTGTCGAGTGTCAAGTGTCGAGTGTCGAGTGTCTAG